TTTCTGCTTGTCTTGTTGGTAGAAGTAAGAAAAAATCAAAGTGAAACGCTTCAGAAAGCTTCAGTTCACATTAATTTGTCACTGACACTTGGTGTGGCTGCAGATTTGTCTTCTTGTTCCCCTGTAACGAGTATGGTGACCCAGGGACTCTCCTGCTAATGCAGTGGACGGATGCTTTTTTCTTATTTGGTGTCATTTTTTCCTTGAGTTACTTGAGCAAGACTAACGTGGGCCTGAGGAGATGAGGCAGAGGGTGAGCCCTGGCTGAGCCGTCAGGACCCACACGGAATGGACAGCCTGGAGCTCCACGCCTGAGCCCTGAGCCCTGAGCCCTGAGCCCTGCACACAGACATCACACAGACGTCACACAGATGGCAGGGCTGTTGTGTGGGTATGAGTTGAGTTGAGTTCTTCTTGTTTTCACAAAGGTGGCTTTAGAGATGGGCTCTTAGTCTTTTGGAAGCTGGCTGTTTGACGGAGAGCTCTGTGGTTCCTCTAGTGAAAAATGACACGCTGGCCTTGTTGTGCTCCCTCGGGGTAGAGTTTTCCAGAAGTGTACACTCCACCCACCTTGCTTCATCGGAGATCCTAGGAGATGACAGGTTTGTCTTGCTCCCATGCTGCCTTGTTTGACTTTCCTGCTCATTCTCAGTAGCTACAGGCTGACCTTGCCAGCATCTCCTGGGCTGTACTTGGGGTCTTTATACACTTTTACTCCCTCACCATCCCTCCCCCACTCCCACTCCCACTCCCACACTCACTGTTAATAGGCATGCCACATTACCTCTGTTCACGGCCTCCTGACCAGTTGATCCTCACTTGACCATCCATTTTGTCTGTTCTGCTCTGGGAGTCCTCCTTGTTCTGTCCCATACCCTTTCAGAGCCACGGATGTGCCTGTCTGCAGCGGTGTGGGTTGTCAAGAGATAGTGTGAGCTGTAGGTGTGCACTCACAGTTTTAGAGGGTGAAAACCAGGGGAAATTAATTTTAAGAATATATTGTATTTTATCTCATACACTCAAATATTTCACTATACAATATAAAATGAGGAATAAGATCATTGACATTCCTTCTTCCATCCTCCTGCAGAATCCAGTGTGTGTTTTGCATTTACAACACATCTCCTTTGAGGCCAGCAACATGGAAGGGGCAGTACAGGGCTTCAGGGGCAGTACAGGGCTTCAGGGGCAGT